AGGCAATCCATATCTCCCCCGGAAAATGTAGAGTGATGTCCCGTTCTATCAAAACTCTGGCTTCAGAAGGCCGACTCAAGTTAAATGTAGGCATGTCAATTTTGAGGATTTTACCGTATTCCTTAGCTAAGGAGAAGAGGAGCTCTTGATCGAAAGCTGGAACTTCAAACACGGGAAACACATTCAAACAAGAATGCTTGGAGGTTCAGTAGGAGGGTCAAAATCGACCGTCCATTTTAAAACCTTTATCACATGGTTTTCTGTTCGAACGAGTCTTCTCGCAAACAATTGAGCGTAATCTTCATCATCTGATAATTGAATGAGAATATGTTGACCGTCCAGTTTACTAATCTTCCAATCTCCTTTTAGCTTCATTTGCTCGAACTCCTTTTGAATTAGCTCGAGTTTAGGGTTCTCATGAAGGAACTTACCTACTAAGACCAGCCGACAGGATGTAGCTAAAGTGGAGATCTCGGCCTCAGAGAGAGATTGCAAGCTTACCATTTTTACAAGATGCTTTTTTGAGAAACCAGGTGTCAACGTCGAGCTCGATAGCATCGTGGTATTGCTGCGGGAATATATTCGAAAGAGGGACACAGCATGGTTATCATCGGCAAGGGCGACGGCATAGGAACAAAGCCCCGAGGACAACACCATGACAAGTGTCAACAAGTGCAAACCCCACTATCGGGGGGCTGCGACAGGAAGGACCGAAGGTAAGCCCGTCAACAGGAAACTTTGTCGTCAGGCAGAGAGGCGACTTGCGAGCAAAAAAACAAACGCAGGGGCTGCGGCAGAAAGGACCGTAGGCGGTGACCTACGAGCAAAACTAGGCGTCGTCGTGGGAGGAGATGACGTGCGGACAAAGACGTCGTCGTTCGACAGGAGAGGCGACGTGCGAGCAAAAGCGAAGAAGATAAACCTTTGTCGTCGAGTACGCTGAAAAACAGCGAGACGCGAATCATCGTCGTCGGAGATCGATGTAACTAGTGGAAGTTTCAAAGCCGGGAATCACCATTGGGCGAAACCCTAGCAAAAGCAGCCCGCTCTCTCCATGGTATATACATGTGTGTGCGCGCGCGCGCGCGCGCTCGTGCATGGATTTATATGCTTGACTATGACGGAACCATACTTTTATTGTAATAGGGGAACACTAAGATATTTGTGCACATAAATGAAAAATGATATTGATATTGAGGTACTTTAACCAGTATAATTTTTAGACGGTGATTTTGTGACGGTTGTACATACTTTGAATGATATAAACTTGGTATTAATATACTAAAATTCATTGAATAACATAATATAAACTTGCTATCGATTGTTTTATATTTATTTATTTAAAGCTTAGCTGACGTACATATTATTTTATTTTCTTGTATTACTGTAGTTTGGAAGTGTGAGTATTCATTACTTTGGTTATCTTACTGTTATTTTAAATTATTTTTTCAAGTGTAATTAATCGATTAAATGATGAGCAATATAAGAGAAAATAATTATAGAAGACATGGACAACCTGTAATGATGTAAATTTAATTGTATTGCTTTAATTTAGTTTCTTTAGTTACTCTTTTATTTGTTAAATATTAGTTATTGAAAATGACTATTGAAAACTTATTTTCACAAATCGATAGTATATACTCTCATTTGTTAATTCCAAGCTCTGGATCAAGTCATGATAGAAAACATCTCTATATTACAAATCATCTTTTCCCAGTGTGGTTTTTAAAACAACAAAGATTATATTAGAAATTTGCAGAACAAAATTTTCTATTGATTTAGTTAGTTGATTGATTGTAAGTTGTAATTGACGAATTTAATATTATATCACGAATTATTTAGGTTTTGGATTTAGATTTTTTTTATTTTGATGTTGATTTTTAGATATTAGACTCACCTTAAGATGGTTCGGTTTTGAACGCTGACCATCTGATCACCTTGTTAGGAGTGTAAACGCTTTAGATCTGACTTATGTTAGGAAAAATGGAGGTAGACATAAAAAGAATTGTGTATGTTTATAAAAGTGACCTTAGTTTATTAAATTTATATGAAAATATGACACTCAGTAGGATACAAAGGAGAAAAATGATTCATGTAGCCAACCCCAATTTAGTGGGATAAAGAGTTACCAACTTTTTGACCACTAGCTTCTTTGTGATTGTGGCCGCTGTCTTTTTCCTTAATAAGATCTTTCACATGTACTTTCAGCACTTGTTGGATGAAAACGACTTTTAATTTTTATGATTGATCGATGAGCTTGGACGAGATAATTCATATTAAAAGACTCATTGGTCTCCCTAAGCACGAAACCTTTATGGTTTTGATACCAAGATGAAAATTAGAATAAATAGGTATCATTACATGATATAATCGGAGTTGCAGCTGCATCTGGGCTAGTATTCTCAAGAACTAAGCCTCTAAGGTTAGAGGACAACTCATTTAGCAGATTCCCATACTCGGTTGACTGAATCCCATAGGCCAATTGGCTTGGCAGAAAAAAATCCTGGAATAAGTTATATGGTATGCTGAATCTTTCTTGGTGGTTGCCATTCATGAGATAAATTGTCAGTCAAGATATTCGACAACTCCTTTAGCAGGGTTGTCCCTTGTTTAGTATCAGCTCCTCACTACCTTCTATGACAACCAATGTTAATCCTATTGGAGCCTCTCTCATGGGCTCAACTAGAATCACTAGCATCTCTATTTTATCTGCGGGCGATTGGTATTTCTCTTCTTTCTCGTACTTTGGCCTCCACCCTCTAACTCCTTCACTACACCTTGCTCCATGAAAGATAACATTATATTGTTTTTGCAACCTGATGCAACGTGCCCAAAGCTGTGGCACTTGAAGCACTTGCTTGTTGGGAAAGATTTTGGAGTCTTCCATTTTTCTTCATTATGAATTGCGTTTTTCTTGAGTGAGTCGGCTTGGATGCTCCATTGGTGCACTCTTGCTGCTTGATTTGATTGCTAAACCCTGCTGTAAGGGTGGTGTGTATCTAATACTTTTGTGCTGTCTCTACACTTTCAGGGCTTTGATCTGGGCATTCTGTAAATGTCCAATAGGGATGCAATTGCACCACATTGCCAATGAATGATCTCATTTCTCCCATACATCGAGCTATGATATTTTTCTCGGGCTTTACTAACCCACACTTCAACATAAGCTACTTGAACTCAGCTATGCACCCTTGTTACTATAAGTGATGATGTCTCAATGACATGTCCTGTAAAGTGCAGGTAGGTACTTGTGTTGCATTTTTCTTTTTTATCTTGGTCCATTTAGTGATTTTATTTTTTCCCTATCTTTGTCACAGGCGTTCTAAATTTTTCCACCTTAAGGAAGCGTTATTCCTTAACTTAATAGCAGCTAGCTTGACCTTTCTGTCAGGTGTAACGTCCTTATACTCAAAGACCAGTTCTACTATCTGGAGCCACTCGCTGAGCTTGTCTAGATCCATTCAACCATCAGTATCCGGTAAATGCACATCTACTCTAAGGTCCTGAATTCTTTGATATTCTATTCCGAATCTCTAGGCTATTGGTTCAGCATCACTGGAAATTCTGATAGAAGTGATTCACTTTCTTCCTTGATCTGGTGAGTCACCATTATAGCTATGGGTGGCCTTACCAGATTGTCTCCCTCGAAGGTGGCAAGTCTCTGTTGTAGCTGGAGGATTATTCACATATTAAGTTTCTGAATACCTCGTTGAGGATTTGTGCTTGGTGGCATGGCTTCCTTTCCTCCCCCATTTGGTTTCCGATGGATGTAGGATTGAAAATCATTGTTAATTGGGCCTTGGGTTTTGCTAGTAGGTGTCTAGGTGAAATTTCAGTGAAGGTAGGAAATTTGGATTTTGAAAATTTTAGGTTTGGGACTAGGAATTGTGGTAGGAATAGTGTGGGTATTGAATGGGTGGAAGATTCAAGTTATTTGAATTTTTGGGTAGGCGTAGGAACGGTAAATCCCAAAAAGGTTTGGGTTTGCCGGTCTCTAATATCAGATAATACAATTTTAAGGCTATTAAAAGGTGTGCAAGATTAAAAGAAAGGGATAGATATTGGGTAGGATGGATAAGGAAAGCGAGGAGGGATGATGACTGAATTTCCGGCTTGTATGACAGTGGGATAACGAACTGGAATGGAAAACAACAACTTTCTTGTTGCGAACAACATTTTACTTAAAGTTGGGACAATGAATGGGGTTTTTGAATACCCGGGAGAGTTCACTATTTTGATTCTATCTTGCTACAAACATACCACATGAAAGAAATCCAAAGATAAGTTACTTCGATAGTGAAAACTAGGAGAAAACAACTCCAAATAACATAACAATAACTAAAAGTCCTTAAAATTGGAAAATAAGACATAAATAGTCTCTTGATAGAAAGAAATCCTAACTAGAAATGGATAGGAAATAAATCATAAAAATAAAATAAAGGGGCTATAATAATTAATCGGGCAGCACTACGGCTTGGCACCCGCAAGGGTCACGGGCGCAATATGGCGCATTTCCCGCGATCAGATCGTGGTTTCCGCAATCAAATGCTCCACATCACTTAATCTTCCATTTTTAGAGTGAGCAGGCTTCATGAGGGCCACAAGCTAACTTTTTTTGTAGTTAGCTGCATTGATGCCCAACACTTCAAGTTCACTGGGAGCCACCACTTTTCATCACAAGCATGCTCATGACTTCTTAGATTGGGCCAAAACATGGAGGGGTAACTTTTCAGGCTATTTTTATACTTTCGGTTAACATTTTTTGTTAATGGTATCTTGTTGAATGATTCTTTAAATGTGTGGGATCAAAGTTTAGGGTTTGCTAAAACATGTAACAACATGAAACACCCCTATTTCTTTTCTGGATGTGTACTTTATTTATTTATATTTATCGAGTTGTTTTACTGATTCATGTAATTCTTTATATTGCTCCGTAGTTGGTGATCAATTTTTTTCATATCTATACGCATGACACTTTTCCTTGTCGACCATCCTCCTAGGCTACATCATTCCGGCTTGCTGTTTCAGTCATCCAAGATTGCGCCCCAAAGTTGGAGACCTCTCTCTGTAGCTTTTTGACATCCTGCATGCTGGAGAAGTATAATGTAAATAAGAGTAGCAAGACTGATTTTCGTTGTTTTGATGTTATTGATGATGATGAGCATGATGATGCATTGGAGGATAATGTTTCTGGAGCTGAACTTCGAAGCTGTTATCATGAAGTAGTTCTCAAAATTTATCAACATGCTCCTCAAATTCTTAAATCAATTTTGCCAATGTTAACTCAGGAACTGCTGGTATGTCATACTCCTAGATTTGAAATGTGTTATTTCTTACGTTATGTTTAATACCAATACTCCATTATATATTATTTTCTTAACAGATTGATCAGGTGGATGCACGCATGAAGGCAGTTCAATTAATAGGAAAACTTCTGGTTCTATCTAAGCTCTATTTTGGTCAGGAACACCGACAAGTTTTTGCAGAGTTCTTGAGAAGATTCTCTGACAAGTCTACTGAGGTAAGACTAGCTTCACTAGCATGGGCAAAGGAAGTTTATCAGGCCAATACCTCTGCAGATGAAGCACAATCTGTTCTTGGTAAATTGATTCTATATCTTTTTCCTTGTTTTCAGCTATATGCTGATATATCTTATTAATCTTCTCTTTTATATTTCCTGATGATTTGCTTCAGTTGCTGTGGAGGGAAGGCTTCTAGACTTCGAAGATAAAGTGAGAACTCAAGCTATATCTGTAATCTGTAATCTAGCATGCTCCAATCTTTCATATTTTCCCTCGGAATTGGTGCTAAAAGCCTTAAAACGTCTACGGGATAAGAAGGTGATTTTTCATATACAATTTTACCACTTTTCAGTTAAAATTAATTTTTCTCGCTTTTTCTTGACCTCATCCTTCATGTGCTTTTAGATCTCCGTGAGAAAAAGTGCTATGCAAAGTCTTCTGCAGCTGTACAGGGTTTACTGTATTAAGTGCTCTAATGGCCTCTTCAATCTAAATTATGATTATGAAAATATTCCTTGTGCGGTACTTATGCTCTGCTTTGATAAAGACTGCAAGGAGTTTAGGTACATTTAATTGCAGCTTATGTAGATTTCTTAGTGTTAAAATTATTCTGATATGGCAACCATAGGTCACAAAACATGGAGCTTGTTATTGCAAGGGATTTTTTTCCATCCTCTCTATCTATAACTGATAGGAAAAAACACTGGATCGCTTTATTCTCACGCTTAACTCAGTCCCATCTCAAGGCCTTAAAGTTCCTTCTATTTCAGAAGCGGAGGTACAGTTCTCTTTAATTTCAAAGTTGTTACTGCATTGGGTATCTGTCTGCCTGATGATAAGCTGAACCCTTTCAGATTGCAGCTTGAAATGCAAGCTTACCTAGCTCTTCGTGATAATGAGAAGGTATATATATTTATTAATCGAGATATGGTGGTGTTGTTTGAATGTGCTATGCATTCTATGCGCTTAATCATATGCATAAATGAGATAGAATTCTATGCTAAAATGCTCTGAAAAGATATATAAAATTAAATTGCAAAATAGTCCTCTGATTATTTGTGTGACTTAGTTTCAGAATATCATGCTTCTCCAATTTAGGGTATGTTTGGGGCAGCTACAGCTTATTGAATAATTTGCTGATAAGCTGATTAAAAATAATCTGCTGATAAGCTAGGTGCGGTGACTATTACCAATTTTTATTTTTTTGAAAAAGTGAACCCGCAGCCAGAAAGCTGCCAGTGCACCTAGATAGACATAGTGCGAAAATGTTGTTTTCAACGTTTTGAAAACGCATAAGCTGTCAAAACGCAGTTTACCCAAAAGTCTGAGAAAACGCATAAGCTGTCAAAACGCATTTTACCCAAAGGTCTGATGCGTTTTCAAAATGTCACTGCACCAAATAAGTTGCCCCAAATAGAGCCTTAATCTTTCAACTTTACAAAATTCGTCCAAAATGACCCTCATGTAGAATTTTTGATATAAAATTGATTACGTTTTAGCCCGCGACTATACAAAATTGATCTGAATTTATTCTCTGTGAGATTTTTGGAATTTAATGCTAAAAGCTTAGACCATTACTCTGTATGTGATTGACCTTTTTTTTGTCTGGAATATTGTCATAGAGAGTGAGCCAAGACCAGTAGTTATGCTGAATCCATTAGTATACAACCTGGAGGTCAAAAGTTCGAAACTTGGAAATAACTTTTATGATGTAGAGGTTGGGTTGCATCTATTGTCTTTGAAAGCTCGTAAGAAAATTTGGAGTTGGAGACCAGAGCATTTTGGATATGGCGGTTGAGAGGATGAAATTTCAGCCATTTGAATGTACAATTAAATGCTCCATTGATGCCATGATGCATATGAAGAATTTTTCGGATGAAGTGCTCTACTTTATTTTTTTCTGTTTTTAGAGTTTCGAAGAAGGAAAACTGGAGCAAAGGAAATGGAATGCGATAAAATAAAAAAATAACAAAATAATAAATTAAGTGTATATAAACCAGAAATATTTCTTTTTTTCTTCATATGTATGCTTTTTGAAATTCCTATCATATTTTCTTAACAAATTTCCAATTCTTTATGTGTACATATTATATAGCCAGAAAATGCCACCTTGCCAAGCTGAAGGAACCACCATCGTCAAATTTGCGCCAGCAGCCGCAGACCTATCGGGCCGGCCACCCCAACCGGCCACACCTCTCCCGTTCGTTACCAATTTTTATTTTTTTGAAAAAGTGAACCCGCAGCCAGAAAGCTGCCAGTGCACCTAGATAGACATAGTGCGAAAATGTTGTTTTCAACGTTTTGAAAACGCATAAGCTGTCAAAACGCATTTTACCCAAAGGTCTGATGCGTTTTCAAAATGTCACTGCACCAAATAAGTTGCCCCAAATAGAGCCTTAATCTTTCAACTTTACAAAATTCGTCCAAAATGACCCTCATGTAGAATTTTTGATATAAAATTGATTACGTTTTAGCCCGCGACTATACAAAATTGATCTGAATTTATTCTCTGTGAGATTTTTGGAATTTAATGCTAAAAGCTTAGACCATTACTCTGTATGTGATTGACCTTTTTTTTTGTCTGGAATATTGTCATAGAGAGTGAGCCAAGACCAGTAGTTATGCTGAATCCATTAGTATACAACCTGGAGGTCAAAAGTTCGAAACTTGGAAATAACTTTTATGATGTAGAGGTTGGGTTGCATCTATTGTCTTTGAAAGCTCGTAAGAAAATTTGAAGTTGGAGACCAGAGCATTTTGGATATGGCGGTTGAGAGGATGAAATTTCAGCCATTTGAATGTACAATTAAATGCTCCATTGATGCCATGATGCATATGAAGAATTTTTCGGATGAAGTGCTCTACTTTATTTTTTTCTGTTTTTAGAGTTTCGAAGAAGGAAAACTGGAGCAAAGGAAATGGAATGCGATAAAATAAAAAAATAACAAAATAATAAATTAAGTGTATATAAACCAGAAATATTTCTTTTTTTCTTCATATGTATGCTTTTTGAAATTCCTATCATATTTTCTTAACAAATTTCCAATTCTTTATGTGTACATATTATATAGCCAGAAAATGCCACCTTGCCAAGCTGAAGGAACCACCATCGTCAAATTTGCGCCAGCAGCCGCACACCCATCGGGCCGGCCACCCCAACCGGCCACACTTCTCCAGTTCGTTGGCCACCCTGGCTGGCCATCTCCCGCAAGTTGACCACATTGGGTCGGCTAGATGCTCTAGCTGGTCGACCACTTTGGTCGGCCAACTCCATTCGGCCAGCCCAAGAAAAGTCATTCGGCCGACGCAAGGAAATTCATTTGGCCGGCCCAAGGAAATTCATTTGGCCAACCACCCCCAGCTGGTCAACCCCTAGCCCACCAGCCACCATGGACCGACGATTGAAGATCAGTCGACCAGCCAACCCCAACGAGCTGATCACCGTGGGCCGACCACAGAAGACTAGCCGGTTGACCACGACCACCATGGGCCGGTCACCATGGGTCGACCACCCCCAGCTGGACACCATGGACCGGCCGTAGAAGATCAGTCGACCAACCACTTCTAACCAGCCGATCACCATGGGCCGTCCACAGAAGACCAGCTGGTCGGCCACCTTGGCTGGCTACCATTGGCCGACCACCGGACATCGTCAGACCCGTAGATTGACAAGCTCCAGGATGTAAGATCTGGGTGACGGAAGGACAAAAATACCCCTTATTGTCCTCCATAAAGCAAGAGCACATTGGTAATGGTGTATTTTTCTCATTTCTACTTCTATAAATAGAGGAGCCTTAACATGTGTATAAGGGTCTCTATGTTCTCTCTCTCAACCCTCATGTAAGAAAAACACTCCCCTTCCCTCTTGTAACCACCAAGTTTAGTGGAATAAAAGTGGCTAAAGAGCCCGGTAACACTCATCTTTTGCCTTTTGGGACATCTTTTTCTCTCTCCCTTTCATTCTCTTTCGATCAAATTTTGTGCTCTATACCTTGGGCACGGTCCAAATCTGGCTTCAACACATATAGGTATTTTTTGCTAGATTAAGTTATGGCTGAACAAATATACTACTGAATTGATTTTGCACGTATGGTAAAATTGTGCGGCTATTGGGAATTTACACATAGAAGTGGGAGGGTAAGCTGAATGCCCAATAGTTTCTTAAGCTGTTGATGATTCCTAAAATAATTTGGTTGCTGGTTCCTCAAAATATGTTACCAAATTTTCTACAGAGAAGGATACTGGTAAAAGTGCTGGTTTTTATAAAGCTACAACTCAAATATTTTATAATCACCCTCTGAATTACGCATCCCCAGTGTCAGCATTTTAATAGACCTTCTAAGTGGCAATCTTTAAACAAATAAGGGAAATTTCAAAAAAGCCAAATGACTCATTAATGACTAACAATTTGGTTAATCAATGCTAAGATGAAACAACATAAAACATTACACGTAATTCCTCACATGAGTTTAGTCAATGACACTATGGTTGAGTACTGCAAGTAAATTGTCTACGTGCTGTTGACTGTAAAAATCGCCTGATATCTTCTGTTCTCATCCAAAGTAGTTGTAATGAAAATGGCTGCATTTGTGGCAAGGCCTTGTGGAAGAGACCAGTAGTGAGCCTATTAAAGGGGGAATTTTACATTCTGTGTGAAAAAAATGTTTTAGAATTTGTTACACAGTTAAATGATCCTACTTTTTAAAATGACAACACTCCATCTGTATAAAATTCAAATATTTGCAGCTTTGTGACATTTCTTTTTTTTTCTTTTACCAGGTTTTTCTATCTACATTTGGTCTCGTTTTCTTAAAATGAAAACAGAATATGACGCAGAATTTCTACACATGGATAACTATGTTATGTGCAGCAGTAAATTTTTTTTCTGTGCTCCCTTGCATATTTGGTCCAAAGCCTGGAATGCTACTTTTACTGATCATTCTAATGCATGTTTGATGTTATTTTGATTTATGTTAGACATCTCTTATTTGAGCAAAATTTGTCCTGATCTTCAGGCTTGGTTGATGATTAAGATTATTTAACGAATGTCTGAAGTATTACTATTAGTTTACTGAATCTTTCAACTTAAATTGTTTGAAGGAAAACAAGTCCGAAGAAGTTCAACTTAAATTTTTGGAATTGTTTTCAAAGATGGCAACTTTATTTTTGGATTCTTCAAAAGCTAAGGAATGTTTTCAAAAGTTGCATAACATGAAAGATGGTTGCATTTTCAAGTTGCTGAAACAATTGGTTGATGAAAATTCAACCCTTATAGCTGCGAATTCTGTCCGAGTGAGTTAACTAATTCTCTTCTTTCTGCCATGCATTTGTTGTTAATGTTGAATTTTCTGTTTCTTTTAATTTCTTTGGCTGAACAAAAGATTTCCAACAATTCATTCATCTGCACAGTTGGTTGAGCAGAACATGAACAAGGTTGAACCAACAACTTAAAAGTTGAACTGTACATGCTTGAGAAAGTTGCTCCATAAATGATCCACCAGAGTTTTCTATCCATAATGAAGTTGGAAGTTATGGAGTCATTATCAGTGAAAGCATCATTAAATTCAAAGAAATTGGTCCATGTTAACTATTGATCTTTCTTCAGCCTTTGACTTTTTTTTTTTCAGGCATTTGTTCCTCTCATTTCATATCTCCATATTTTTATGTGGAGCAACTTGGTTTGGAGCTTCACTTAGCTAAATATGATTTTAATATCTATTTTTAAAAAGCACATAATAGGTGATATTGCTAATAAGAAAATAGGATAGATAATGAATAAACAAAAAATCAAATTTTATCTTGGATTGACAGAGTGAGCCAAGTCATGTAGAAACATTGCATTTATGCAATTTTTCTACAATCTTATAAAAAGTGAAAATTTTTCTCTATTTTTTTCGTGTTGATATATGATAGCTTTTTTCTGTTCTATCATTATTTAACATGCACATACAATCAATTTTTATAGCTTGTATTATTCATATGACACTAAACATGACACTAAATAGGACGCAATAGAGAAAAATGATTTATGTGGCCGACCCCACTTAGGGTCCGTTTGGGACCGCGACAAGAGAGCGTTGCGGCTAGTCGTCGCGACTTTTTGTTGTTTGGTGCGGCGTCCCCCTCGCGGGGCGGAAAGCGGGCCACGGATCACACCCCGCTTCCCGCATTAGTGGGGAGCGTTCGTCGATAATACCCTGCCCACTTTCGCCTTCAATTAAAATAACGAGTGGATCGCAGCATACAAAGCCGAAGCCCCTTTCTTGCCTTCGAAGCCCCTCCTTGCTCGATCCTCCCTGACGCGACAGAGCCGAAGCCCCTCCATGCTCGATCCTCCTATGCGCAAGCTGTGATCCTCCCTGACGCGACAGAGCCGAAGGCCCCTTCCTTGCCTCTGTTGTCCCAATTTCGTTCGATGAAGATGAAGAATGTCGAGGGTTCGTTCACGAAGGACATGATTTTGGACGACTCGAGAGGGGAGGGAGGGGAGCATAGGGGAGGGTTTTCAGCATGGGAGGAGGCCGGGGAGGAGAGGGTAAGGGAGAGATGGGTTTGTTGTTTTAATTTATTTTTATTTAAATTTTAATTTTATTAATTTAACTGATTAATAATTAATGATTAATTCATATATTTTCAAATTAATAATAATTAGATAAATTTATATATTATTATTTAATAATTAATTAATTAATTAATTTATAAACATATTTTAAGTTTTAAATTATTTGGTAAAAATAATTAATTATTAATTAATTTTAATTTATTGTTTAATGAAAAAAGTTATTTTATATTTTGTTACAAACAACATTACTACACAGGGACACGATGATCATTTGTCTAGAAACAGCTGACCCACAACTGTTTTAGACAGTTACAATAAACAACCAGCCAGCTTACCCGCAGCAGCTTTCTCGCAGCAACTTCCTGGGGTAACGCAGCTGTAGCTGATAAGCTGAGAAGCTGCAGCTGCCCCAAACAAACCCTTAGTGGGATTAATACTTTGTTGTTTTTGTTATTGTATTATTCATATGTTCATATCCTTTTTTTCCTTATATTCTTTATATTTTTAAATAATGTGAAATAGTATGTATTGCTAAAGATATAACCAATAAATAAAGTAACATATAAATTAGAGATATAACCTTCACAGAGATATAACCAATAAATAAAATAACATATAAATTAGAGAAAAATTGTGCAATTGACTTTAATAAGTATCAGTAACTACCATTACTATTTATTTAGAAATAAACAAATCCTACAATAGATTAATAGGAAGTTTACTCACGTCAATACTTGATGACTTGATTCCCAAACTCTTATTCTAACTTCATTTTCTGAGAATATTAGTTTTTATATTTAGCAAAGTTCAAAATGGCGAAATTGGGAATTGAGGTAAGCCTCAAGGCGAGGCGAGATGTAGGCTTTAAAGAGGATCAAAATAACTCTATAAAATTAAAAATATTTTATAAATATTATATAAATAATAAATACTTCAATTTAGTTTATTATCATAAAGACATAAATTACAAATCTTAACATTAAAAATTGATATAGAATCAAAATTTGAAATGTGATTGTTGGTAAACATTTACTTAAAATTATAAATATTCTATAAGGTTTAAGATCCATTGTGGCCCCTTCATTGCTTTCATCATCTTAAAAAACAATCATCATATTTATTCTCAAATTCAGTCTTATTATAAGCTTTAAAATGTTTTTCATTCACTATAAATTTCTTCTTATTATCAAATATTTTGAAATTTAAATTTATTTAAATAAGCAAATAAATTAATGACATAATCAAGTAATCATATTTAAGTTATCTTTGGACCTTTTTGAGGTATTTTATTAGATATATTAAATATAATGTAATGTAATAAATATTTATTTTTTTGCACGACTTGATCAAGGAGATGCCTCGATTGCCTCGGGGCGTAAGCCTCAAACGAAAGAGGCATAAGCCTTACTATTGGTAGTGAAGCTTAATTCTTAAGGCTTTTTTATGCGCTCGGTTCAAGGCATGCCTCGAGAAGTAAGCCGCTGACACCTTTTTAAACAATGATATTTAGTTAAACTCTTTATTTCTAAACTATCATATATCTAAAAAAAATTTTAATTAAAAAGATCTTAATTTTTCTTGCATTCTCTTACTTAGGAGCTATTTCAAACTTCTACTTCAATTTCAACATTTCTAAAATTTTCTATTAATAGTCTAAAGACATAAAATCTTACATTTATGTTATTTCATTAATAATTATATAAATCCTTTTTTGCCTTAAACACTTTGTATTAAATCTTGTTTATATGTACATATAGACACACATACACACACATGAAGAATTTAAAGTAAAGTTATTTCAAATTTATAATCTTATTTTAGATAAAAAATAAAATATTACCTAGTTTTCACTTTAAAAATTATCTCTAAATAGAAATTTATTCTAAAGTTGTAAGTGAAATTTCCTGTAAAAAGAAATAAATTTTTTGATATTTTACTTTCAGATAGAGAATTAATATCCTAGATAAAATTGATTTCACCTATTCGATGTACTATCCAATCAAAATGGAATCTTTGTACATGAACTGATAAGGAAATCTCATCATGGTTTAAGTGAGTATGGTCTCAAGAAATTTGAGATGTTTAATGCCTTGAGTGATCCGTCGATTGAATACATCTCGCCGTTCGACAGAGCTATATAAGCAACCCTCCCTTTCTCACAAATACTTGGTTTGCACCATAGATAATTAAACAACCTTCTCCTTTTCTTAGTTCGCATACCAACCACATAGGCTCGATTCGACTCTTACCCGAGCTTGTCTCAATGGTTGCTCAAACTCAAGCTCATCGTTGCCCTCGTTTGCTCAACGATGTCACCTCATACATTTCTTATTGCACATGTTTTTGATTTGTTTCATGGGTAATCCAGGTTTTTTGGCTTTGAAAAGGGGTTTTGTTCCTCCCATGTTTTTGCTACTTTGAGCACACTTGAGGTCACATTTTGGTGCGCATGCGTTCTCCTTACGACTTCCTTTTTCTCTTTCTTTGCCATGTCCTCTAAATAACTGAAATCTACTCCCTCATGTCCGCATTACAAAATCGAGCTTTATAATCAAACATCCAACTTCATCAGTTACTATGTATGTGCAAAAGTTATTTTAGTACTCGTTTGAAGTTCTACCCCAGACTGGTGATGCAAGTGAGCTGTAACCATAAACTAATCTCCCTTAAATTTTCTATAAAAGAATAATATTAGAATTTTACATTGCCTACTACTCTTATTAATGTCACTTTCTGTAATTTGGTAACATATAGTCACAAAAGTGGTCTCATTTCTTATTGGATAAATCAAATTAGTGTACAATTGTAAAAGTCATTATCTTGTTTATCCCTTAAAAAAATTAAAAATATATAAAATTTAAATATTTTCATATAACCACAATTCCTGTTTGAACAATTAAAAGAAGTAGAGAAAATCATTAGTTAACTTATTTATAATTGCTCTTAATAACTTTATATATTTATTTTATAAAAATTGTTACGTAATATTACAAAAGTTTAACATAACATACTTTTAAAAATTTATATGAAATCTTATAATTTATATTTTCAAATATAAATCTAAAATTTACTTCATTTATTAATCAAGAATCAAATATACCAATAAAAATGTGATATGAAAAAAATATGATAGTGATTGCTTCAAATGATATTGTTGAAGATAAACTAAAAAGATTTATTTCAGATTAATAAAAAAAATCACGATTCTATTGTTTAGCGACTTAGCTTCACATGGTCTTGGCTCTTTGTTCGACGTCGAGGTTCCATTCTGGATCGCTTGGCTTCTGAGTCTCAGTTCATAATTGGGCTTCAACAAGACTGCTTGCAATTGGATTGTCGTGCTTTGACGGGTTTGGCTCATTTTGATGGGGTTGGCTCAATGAGGATTGCTTGGAATTGAAAAGCCGGGCTACCTCTTGCTCGGCTTGCCAGCAATGACAACTAGGATGTTCAAAGTAAGTTTAAGGCTTATATATTGTCAAGGACGTACGACCTTGATTTTGACAAGGATGCAACTTTGGCTTAGATTCTTCGATGCGATTGTATATCGTGCCCTCTTAATTTCGTGTCCGAGTTGCGTTGAATCCTTTACTGAAGTGTCTAGGGTTTGTTGGAGATTAAAAAAACCTTTGACTCAATTCACGCCATGTCGGACGCATGTCTAGATTGTGTCCGTGTCTGACACGGGAAAGTTGACTATTTGGAATGTCAGTGTTTGTAGCTTTTACTT